CAAAACCCCAAAACCCCAAAACCCCAAAACCCCAAAACCCCAAAACCCCGCAAGTACACATATAAGAATTCAAAGTGAAAGTATTTATTTAGTAAATTATACGAGTTCAATCAGTTTATAGCTTCTAACAGTGAATTAGATATTACTGCATTCAAACTTCTGATAATAACCTTGAGGACGCAGCCGTATTAAGCATTGAAGCCGATTTGAGCTCTTAGTACAACAGTCTCAGAGTTCATGAACAAGCCGGACAGTAGTAAATTATGCACCTTCTCAGTTACATTTACTTTATCTGAGCCTTCACATACACCCATACCAAAGAACTTAATTACTCCAGTAACAGCCTCGTCCATAACTCTGAAAGGTATTTAGAAGCTAGACTGAATTTCTGAGATCTTTGAATCTGATCCTATGGCGTCCCAGGCATCCTTGAACTGACCTGTTGGGAGAGAGAATGGCTTGATATAGTCCTTGACTGCTATTTGAACATCATCTAGCTTGTAGTCTTCTTCATATGAACCTAGTTCATCTTAGCTATCAATATCGATCTCAGTTATCTTAATGCTAAGTTTCTATTGGATCTTGGCTAGTGGGAATGGATGATTGCAACCTTACTTTGTGAACACTGCATAAACATATTGCTTTTCGCCATACTTGATTTACTAGCCAGCTGTTAGATTTGCAATTTTTAAGATTTGGAGGTTGTAAGCTGACTCTACGTTGCTGATGTTTAGTTTAACATCAGACAATATTTAATCTTCGAGTGTATTAGTAATTGAATACTGAACAATAATCACATTGTCAAAGAAATGCTTGACTGTTTGCACAACATACTCAGCTTATGAGTCATTGACTGCTGAGATTTAACTGGAATAAATGTGCTTTGAACTGTTAATAATTGGAGCTAGTTCTGGGTGGGATGCCATCTCAGTCATTAAAGAATCATCTACTTGCTAGGCTAAAGCAGGTGTCATCTGTTGCTGCTGACTGGGACTGTAGTTAGATTGCTGCGATTGTATTTGCATTTAGCTGTTCTTCATTTCTTCTTGTTCCTGGTCAAGTTGTCTCTTCATAGCTCCAGCTCTTGTGTGGCCACCTCTCTTTGAGCACATTAGTTGAGATAAATCAATGGCAAGAGGTTCTTCACTCGATTACAGTTAAACTCTCTTTTGAGTTACGAAAGCTTCTAGAGCATCAATGTCAATTACATTCTAGGAATCAAAGATGAATTGCCTAATTTCGTCTTTTTCCATTGCTCCTTCTGGTGCTGATTCTTCTAATTCTTCAGTGATAGTGTTGACATCTGGTGCAAGGAAGTTTTTATCTCCTTTTTATTTAAGAAGGTTAATGTAAAAGAAAGCTCTTTCACGTACCTCATCATCTGAGTCTGTCAAACACTTCTGCAACAATATCAAAATACTCTTTCTAAGACTTGGAACTTTGTGAGCGAATGCAGCGAGGGCACTCACAGCTGCAGCTCTGATCACTGCCTTTTCAAGATTCACTCTATTGTAAATGAATCTGATATAAGAGGATGGGTTCTTGGATCTGGGACCCTCTTCAGCTAGGAAATTGATAATCTTTGTTTGAATATGTGCATGCTCGCAATCTTCAATATGCTCAGCTAGAATGAGAAGAGCGACTTCTCTCTATGATGGACATATCTCAATGATAGTGTCAACTACCGACTCTCTAAACTGGACATTGTTTTCTTCCTTAAGGCAGTCAGTCAAGAACTTGAGTAGCACATCAGCCTTGTGAGGAAGTCTGTGATAAAGAAGAGCAGTTGATTGAATGGTTTCAATTTTAAAATCCAAGCCGAGATCTGGAAGATAATGACTGATTTGCTTTAGAAGTTTTTAAACTGAATCCTCGTTGCAAGTCTTCAGCAAGGTGGAAATAGCTAAAGAAGCAACAGACCTATTCATGTCTGTGATTAGATTCTCAAGCTCTGACTAGCATAGAGAAACCAAATTAGGTTGCTTAGTAGCAATTCTATTCATCACTCTAAGTGCAGCATATTTATTGACTGGCTTGGATTAGTTAGAAGCAAGCTAAACCAATACTTAGAATGGCAGTTCTACATTGACAATACTTCCGAACACCTCATAAAGTTCACACATTGTCTTTGCTGCTTCGAATTAAACTGGGTCCTCTTCCTTTGTAAGACAGCCTTCAATGTATTTCAAAAATGTCTATATTTCTAATCAGATAAAAATTCATTCTTACATTTACAGTCTTTTGATCGATCATTGGGTTCATCAAGAAACTGTACTTGATATATCTGATGAGTTGGCACTTAGTCATAGAATTGTGGATCTTAACTTGAGTAAGTTGGAATAATAGCTTTAAAACTGCCATCTAATCATTCTTTTTAAGTTCAAAAAGCATAATCAATGCTTAGTATTGAAGGTTGCCATCTCCACTATTGAGAAGTTTGTCTTGAATTTCATTTACTGATTTCTTAACGATCTCAGTTGAATGCCCACCCTTCTTGTACAAATTTACCATAGACACTAGTGCAGCACTTACTACATGATTGCTCTTATCAATCAGCGCCTATTTCAAATATTTTTCAAGTGATTGCACGTATAAATCATCAATAATCTTAGTCAAGACACGAAGAGCATTTGCCTTTGACATCTCATTATCATTTTAACCAACATCTTTTGTAAGCTGCGAGATGACAATAAACACTTCGTTTTCATTAGCTTTTAATTCCTTGATAAACACATACATAAGTCTCTTCAAACTTTGAGTAGTCGGAGTGTTCACCTAGAATAGCTTAGTCACATTGAAGAATATCTTTGACTTCTCACTGTCTGGAAAGTCCTCACCCTATTTTAAACGAAATAAGCATTAGTATATCAATGAATTGAAATGATAAAGCATACCTGATTCAACAGAAAGATAATCTTATTAAGTAATTCAACACACTTTGTCACAACAAGGTTCTTTTCATTGAATATGTTTGATTCTTAAACTAATGTGCTCTTATTTAAATTGCTGTAGGCATCATTATACTCTATAAAACAATAGGTAAGTCAAATAAGCCCAAATGTAATTGAAAATGATGTGATCAATCGATAGAAAATCATTTAAGAATAAGAAATGGTGTATTACCTGAGGTGTCATCATTGTTGCCAAACTCAAGAGCTGACTTTAATTTTCCCTTATACATCTTTTTTTGTGCTAAAATGTTTATAATTAATAATTTAATTCTGATGTGTGAAAATCAATCTAGGATAGTGGGGTTTTGGGGTTTTGGGGTTTTGGGG